TAGATCATGACCTGAGTGGAAACCAAGGGTCAGATGCTTAACTGGTGGAGCCATCCAGGCACCCCCAGGGAAGGGATTTTTTGTGACTTACTTACTGTTGCATCTTCTAGAACCTAGAACAATGCTGGGGCATGTAGTAGGTGCTCAGTAAATAATTGTTGAATGAATTTTTCTGTTTGCCTCAAAATCAAGGAATTCATTTAATAGTTACAAGGCTCTCAATTGCCCTTTAGCAAACTAAGAAGTGTGCTTTTGAAAGTGTCCTGAGCTGGCTTTTAGGTCTCCTCCAGCCTCTTTCTCCACTGTTCTACTTCCACTGTAGATTGTGGACCAATACGTCTATCCTCTCTGAGCTCTGGTACTTGTCACATGCTGTTGCTTCTGCCTAGAACTCTCTTTTCCCTCCACTGTAGGTAGCAGAATTGACTCATTCTAGCATCAATTTCTAAAGCATCACATAGAATTGTTCACCTGTTTACTTGCCTATGGTTTCTATTACCATACAGTATCAGGGACTGTGTCTAATTCCTCAATGAATCCCAGCCCAGTGCACAGTGGCTAGCCCGGAGTAACCCTTAGTACATGAAAAACTGAGCTGAAGTGAAGTTGCATCCCATTCTGCACTAAGTCCTCTACCAAAGAAATATACTTTTTAATTTTTAGGAAATGCTTTTAAAGGGTTTTTACCCCCCCCAAGAATGATGAAATGTCTTTAAAGCTGCAGGGAAACCAGGGCAATGTGTTTAGAGGCATAATTTCTCGAAAGAGAGTGATGAAAAACCATAGCTTATCTTTGAGCCACCCTAGTGAGATCACAGCTTGGACACTGAGCTTAGTTTTATGCACCGTATGTTCTAGGTAACTGGAAGATGATTGCAAAAGATGGCAGTAAGAAGGATTAAGTGTGATTATTTATGAGGCATAGTTAAAAGGAGACAGCATGCATATGTTCACTAACTATAGGGAATAGACGATCTCTAAATATCTGATGAACAAATCCACCCAAGGAATATATTTAACACAACAACAAAGGAATAAGTAAGAGGAGAGAGATAAAAAGATAGGGAAAAAATTTAGAGAATTTTCAGCATATCACAAGATGGTTCTTATTAACAACCAGATTTCTCCAATAACAGCCCAAAAGCTGAATGATTATGGGTTGAGAAATTTGTGAAGGAGACATGAGCATCTGGGTAGAGCTGAGTTTCCCAACCTTATTATGCTTTACATTACAGAAACAATGCATAATTTTTATCTAATTCAATGTTTTCCTATTAGAGATGATTTTACCAGTTAAATAAATACCCCAAGTTCTGGATTATGACCTGTGACATACAGCTGAGATGAATTATGTAGGGAGTTGATCTCTTTGACCTCAAATGCCTTTCTAGTTTTGAAATTTATTTCCATGGTAAAGATTTTCCTGGAGGTCCTGTGTGCCTGAAGAGGATGCTGTTGGGAATATTTGCCTTAAGCAGAAGACTAGTGGACAATTTAAATGACCACCAGGCTTTCCACACATTAGGATAGTCTCAAGCTTTGGCATAATGGGAGGTTTTTGCAAGGTTGCTTTTGTCTCTTTATTTCATGGCTTACCTGAGTGTAATGAGTAGTGCAATGTTGGGCCCTTCTAGTACTTACTCTATTTGCTTTGTATTTATTGTGTGTCTACAACTGAGTAAGACATAATGTTCTTGCCTTCATGGAGCTTCCATTTTATTTGGAGGACATAGATGATAAACAGACAAACAAATGGTGACTAACTTCAAATAAAGCTATTTGCTCTGAAGAAGTGCTATAATGGCACAACCCAGAGGATCTTGCACAAAACTGTCCTCTAGGTCTAAAGACCACCGTCTGTGCACTTACTGATTTCTTAAAGATCTGAAGCCCTTTATTTGTGGTTCTTCAATATCATGAAATGAATAACATATTGTCTTCAGCAATATTTCTTTAAATTCCCTTTTCTTTTTCTTGATGTCCTTCCTCCCCTTTCTTCTAAACCCCAGTCCCACTGGAGTTCTCCTGAGGTCTCCAAAGAGTTCTCAGTGTGAGAGGCTTTGGTTGCTGTAGATTTTGTTTTATATGCGTGTGTTAGTGAGAATTTAGAGAGAATTATCTGTCTTAACTTTTCACATGATGAAGTATACAATGTGGTAGATTGCTTTTTGTTTTGTTTTGGTATAGGTTTAAAGTTTAGAATTATTCTTATTCTGCTAGTCTCCACAATGAGCTCCTGGTGACCCAAAGCCACCTGGAACAGATACTCTTGGTGCCCTGAGTAGTATCCCTATTCCCTCACCCTTTCAGGATATACCAGCTCGACTTCCATTGGAAGCACCTGTATCTCTGGCTTTCTCTGGACACTGAGGCAACTCTGCCCGCTCATGCCTAGAGAGCTAGGGACTTAAGTGCCCCGGAAAATGGCCCCAGTTACTGACTGATGGGAGTTAGTATTTAAACAACCAAGTTCTTTTGTCCCTTTGGTGGGGTAGCTCAGACTATGGCATGTGTTCTACATTGTTTCCTAGAGTTCCTCAGGAGGATTAAGCTCAATCACCTCTTGTAGTAACATGCTTTTTTGTCTGTCTTCCCTTCCCTGTTTCACTTTCCTATTCTACTGGTGTTTCCCACAATTATTGACTTGCACTTGAATACCTGTCTCAGGATTTACTCCTGGGAGAACTCAAAGATACCACCTCCTGGTGATTATTAATCAAGTTGTAGATCAGATAGTCATCCTGTACTGATTGTCTTGGCATTTCGATATCCTGGGTCCAAGGCAAGTGCCATGTGTTGATGCTTCTTATGTATGTATGTATGTATATATGTATGTATGCATGTATATATTGCTGAAGGTCATAACTGACCTTGACCTGACCTTGAGCCCAGTAAACAGCATCACCCTCAGTTGAACTAATACATGTATGTTCACACTAGACTGCTTAATAAGGGTTTAATAAATTATTAGATACCACTGTTTAGATCCTGAGTATATTCATGACATTTACCTTTTGATTGCTAAGTAGAAGATGTAATGATCATAGGCTGATACTCTCTCAGGAGAAGTCTAGTGGTTGAGCTTTCCATTTTCATATGGTTCAATGATTCTTTTCACAGTTAGTCTGGCTGCTGACACATGTGCTGAAATCTCTCATGCCACTCAGTCTGAGAAAAGCTGGTACTGCTGAGCTGAGTCTGCTCGTAAGAGCTAAAAAGAACCGTTGTGTTATCAGAAACAACCCCAAATTGACAGATTAGGCTAGGAAGTCTGGGCAGAGGGTTTAATTTCTATGCACAAAATTAGTCTGTATACAAATTGATCACGTTTCTATTCCATCTGCGATTGTTTTCAATTTCACCTAGTTATCCAAAATTCTCTAGTATTCTAGGTGGTCATGGTGTCTGTGTGATGACCTGTAAACTGACCATAATCCATAGTGACATTCTTTGAGAGCCAAGGTTCTTAGGACATCAGTATTTCACACCAGGACATTTTGTAGGACACCTCGCTACCCTCCATGGGGTTCAAACATCAGAAAGGATGAGAGATAGAAGACTTGGTGTAATGGCCTGCATGTAAGGAAGCAGGCCAAAGAAAAAAATGATGGGAAAAAAAAAGGGAAATTGGGTTGCCTGGGTGGGCATGGAGCCTGCTACAGATTTGCTCTCCCTCTTCTCCCCTGCTTGCTCTCTCTCTGAGAAAGAAAGAAAGAAAGAAAGAAAGAAAGAGGAAAAATAAAGGGAAATGGTGTCAGGGTAAGTAAGAAAATATCCCAGTGTTCGTCCAGGTGTAATTGCTCGTTGCTTCTCCTTAAATGTAAAAGTTGATGGGCAAATATATTTTCTTCCTTGGCACTAGGATTGGTAGGAAAGAGAAGGGAAGTGTACAATCCTGAAGGGAGGCTGCTATAAGAAGCATGGTGTGTAGTACCAAGAGTCTGAAGGCCAGGATTCTAGTCCCTGCTCATAAGCAGCATGATCTTGTACCATTATTTACCTGCTCTGCAATTTGCAATTGCGTTTATGGCAAAATTAAGTTTACTTCTCATACTCCTTTAGACTAGAAACATCTTGAAGTTAGGAATTGCATCTGAATCAGGAATTTATTTCTCCAGCATCCTAGACTATATTGAGAATGATTTTGAATTTGAAAGGGAGCGAGGCACAAGAAACCCATGGTCCTCAGAGATGGATTTAATTGATCTGCACCAAAGAAAGGGAGAATAGAAAGTAAAATGCTACCCTAGATTTCATTCAGTTATTTAAAGCATATTTCCTGAGTGTCTAGTATATATAGTTCCAGGTTCTAGAAATATTGCAGCGAGCAGAACAAAAATCTTCATCTGCATGGATCTTTCATTCTGGAGAACAAGACGATTAAAAAAGATAGATAAATGAATTATATACAGTGTTTGGGAAGGAAAAGTGCTAAGTAGAAAAACAGCACGAAGGGAGAAAGGAAGGGACAAAGGAGTTTGCGGTGCGATTTTAGTTAGGATTACAACAAGGCCGAATGTGGTCGTAAAGTGGATCAAGTAAAGGTCTGCAAGCCCGTTGTTATGAGAAAAATATAAAGAAAAGAAGACTTAAGGATTCAAGAGCGATCCAAAATGGGTAGAGGAAAAGAAAGAAAATCCAGCCAGTGTCTACTGGCGCGTTTGTATGTGTGTGGGGGGGGTGTAAGTTAAACACGTTTAGGAGGAAATAAGGAGGTAAAAAAGCAGCATAGCCTGAAGAATTTTATTTCTTTTAACCACTTGGAAAAAAAAGATTTATTACAAAAATCCCTTTCCCAAGGGATCCTCACCTCAGCGGCTCTCCTGAAACAATCTTTCTCACCCCTGTATCGGAGTTATTGCCATTATAGCTTCTGATTGGCCTGGTGTAGGCTCATACTTTATGCCTATTGGCCCTCGCTTCTGTCCTCAGGCCAGCGGCCATCTTAGATCCCGCCCCCGCCGCGGCGCCATCTGGGAATTGTAGTACCTTCTCCGTCCCGTCGCGGGACTTTTGCCCTCCAGTTCCCGGTTCCCTCAGGCCGCCTCCCCAGTGGGCACATGCCCAGGCGCCGTGCCCCGCGCTCCCTCCCTCTGCCTTTCACTTCCCAGCTGCCAAGATCTTGGAAGGTAGGGGCAGGGGGCAAACCCCAGTAGAAGAGTGTTTCTGGGGTGCGGGTCTTGATTTCCACGCGCGTCTGGTCTGTATACCCACAGTCCAGTGGGGCGGGGTCTGGGTCGCACAGCTCCTTGGGGAGGGGGTGGTGGTGTGTCTGCCCGGAGGACCCTCCCACCCCCTGAACTTGCAGGACCCATTCTGACCAACAGCCCTAACTCTAACCCTTCCCTCATCTGCTGCATAAGGGGTAAACTGAGGCATGGGGCCACTCCAGCGGTTCCAGCGACGCCCCAGCACCCAGACCTAGTGGTGTAGTTGGCACTGGCCGCTTTTGCAAGGTTTGCCAGTGTCCTAGGCAAGTAGCAGGAATCGCTGCCCCAACAGAACTGTGTCAAACACCCAGCGCTGGGTTCCCGAAAGGGAGGGGGAGGAGGCTGAACACGTGCCCCAAAAAGGAGCCAAGTAGGTAGAGGGAAGGCAATATTTTGGGAGGGAATCTTACATTTGATACTTTAAAAACATTTTAAAAAGCACTGAATGCTTTATGGTGGGGTAACTCAATGAGTCCAAACTCGTTTGGGCTATTTTATGGATTAATACAGTTTTATATAAAAATATGCGGGGATTTTAAAGGTAAATCGTGTAACGCTAGGGGAGGGGGTTTGGAGAGAGGAGTCTGGTTAGTGGAACCGGAGTTGGAGCCTCCTCTCTAGGATCAAATTCTCCATCTGGTGTATGACCTTGGACCAGCCACTCACAGTATTTTATCTTGGAAAAAAGAGCTTAAAGATCTCTGGCCAGGTGGCCCAAGGATGCTTTCAGCTGGAGCTGAAAGCTAAATGAGGTCTTGTTTGTGAAAGTCTGCCACTTGCAAACTTACTACTTTATTACTCCGGATCCCTCAAGATATGTGCGGGGACCAGCAGAAAATGATCCCAGGGGTTGTTGTAGAAAGGCTCTGACCTGTGCTGGGCCTGGGATTACTAAAAGCCCCTAGTCGCACCTGTGAAGCCGGGTGTGTCTGAACGATCCCTCTCCGGCTCCATTTTACCACCGGCATCCCACGTAGCGGAGGCGTCTGGGAGTTGGAGTCCCGCTGCGTGTTTCCCGGAGGGCCGGTACTCTATCTCCCAGCGTGCCATTTGGTGCGGCGAAGTGTCTCCTGGGAGTTGAAGTCTCACTTAGGCCGTTTTGTGGATCAGCTCTTTGACTGGGAACTACAACTTCCATGTGGCCCTGCGTTCTTGGCAGCCAGCCTCTGTGTCCACCTGCTGTGAGCCTGCACTAGAAAGATGTTCAGGAAAACTCTTTTGTTGTTGGGAGTGGAGAGATATGTCTAGTAAAGATCTCGTTTATTATGGTTGTCGTCGTTGTCATGGATTGTATATGCTGTTACAAGTGTTAGGGGAGAATTGAATATACTTTTCCAAGTGTTAGGGACTATGCATGCTTTCAAACGCAGCAACACTAGACTTTTTACAGAATGTTCACATTACTTCTTTTCATAACACCGTATCTCCCATCTGTAGATGAGGAAAAACCTTGAGAAGTTGATTTGTCCTCGGTCACACATCTAGTAATAAAATAAAATAATAAAATAATGTGTATTATTAATATATATTACAGTTTTAATTTAATCCTCTCAAAAAACTATATGAGAGACATAACCATTTTATATGCTTTTCACATATTAGAAAACTAAAAGTTTTAGTTAAGCAACTAAGGTTAAGCAACTTGTCCAAATTAACTCAGCTAGGGAATAGACGTACTCAGTAATCCTATCTGTTTTAACAGTCTCTGCTTAAGAAAAGACCCCACCTAGGGCACCTGTGAGGCTCAGTTGGTTGAGCATCTGCCTTCAGCTCAGGTCATGATTCCAGGGTCCTGGGATGCAGCCCCACATCAGGCTCCTTGCTCAGTGGGGAGCCTGCTTCTCCCTCTCCCACATCCCCTGCTTGTGCTCACTCTCTCTGTCAAAAAGGAAAAACAACCCCCCCAAACCCCAAAGACCCCACCTAACAGAGGGGGAGGGAGTCCAGTGTTTCTGAGTACAGAATTTGGAATCTTTCCATCATACCATGTTTCCTCCGTAGTCAGACTAAATGTTAGAGCTGCAAAAACCTTTGAGATCATTTACATTTAAGGCAAAGATCTTATAACAGTTCCTGGCATATAGTAAATGTTCCATAAATGTTAGCTATATATAGCTTTTTAATACCTTTATTTTAGAGGTTAGGAAACTGGCCCAGGTGGTAAGGCCTTTTGCCCAAGGTCACACAGTTGGTTTGTGTCAGAGATGAGACTAGACCCAAGTGTCTTATTTCCAAGTCCAGGGTTATTTTCATTCTACCAGCAGTCAGGTAGAAGGAGCACCAGATATGAAACTGTTTAGATAATGGTTTCTCTTATAATTTGTTCTTTGTAGGCCACAAAGAACCAATTGTTGTAAATTGTTGTAAAGCCTCTTTTCATATTATTTGTAAGGTTGTAATGTTTCAACAATTCAACAAAAGTTTTTTGAGCATCTTTATATGCTCGTATCTCTTCAGGTGCAGGGGCCACATGGATTAAAGTAGTTAATGGGTTAGGGCTAGAAGGACCTGAGGAGAGGGATCCATGGTCTTCATCTCATGCCCTTTCTGCAAGGAGACAGGTTTCTGGAGGCCTTGTGGTAATGTATTTGACCTTTCAGGTTCATGATTTCTTTTACTTGATGTTCTCTTCCTATCCTTATCTCTGTAAATGTTTGATGGAATGCTTTAGGAAATGTTTCTATACTCCTGTCTTTATTTGTATATATGTGTGGCTTTAATTGCTCCCTTTATATTTTGGGAATATCTTGTTTTGGCTCCCAGTGATTTTTTCTCTTTTGGTCTTTCAGACCCTTAAGAACAAAATCTGACACTGTGTTTGAATTCATATAAGTTACAGTCTGACCCTCTAATATGGGATATCAGAAAGGAACACACGAGTTGTTTGAATTATGTAAAACTTCTATTTTAGAAGATACATTGTCCCTTTCAATTATGTATTTACAGGTAATAAAGGAGATAACTCATCTCCTGTGTGTGAAAGCTTCTTTCTATGTAGTTAGATAATAAAGTAACATTTTGTAAATTATTGGCTAAACATTCCTGAAACAGTCACTATGGGAGATGTTCTCCCTATCCCCTCCTGTAGCCCCCTGCCCTGTCTCTCAGCTAACAGTCTGATCATTCAGGTTTCAGCACATGCCTGACCACTGGTAGATACTGAAAAAATATTTATGTAGTTGCATTCATAAGCATCCCTAAGCTCTGTTCCCACATCTTTTTCTGGAATCTCTTTTAAGATAGAAATGCTTTGAAATATAAGATGTCGCAGGTTGCTTTCCTTTCAATGTCTATATTGCGAAGAAAAATCTCAGCCTTTGAGGTCATCTTCCAAGGGGCTGTTTCTTTGGGAATGTTCATATCTGTGATTTCTCAGATGAGAAAGTGATCCAAATAGCAAAACATGGCAAAGAAACCATAGAGAGTGGTAGTCTGGAGACCTATGATTTAAATCTCAGCCCTGCCCTAAGAGGCAGGTTACTTAGCCATTGGCTTTTTCTATAAAAGAGGAATAATAAGCATTTCTCCCTCATAAAGTGAGGATACAGATTAAATAAGATAGTTATTTATTTATTTGTTATTTTCTGTCTTATTTCATTTTTTTAATTGACGTATAATGTATTATTTGCTTCAGGGGTACAGGTCTGTTATTCATCAGTCTTAAAATTCACAGCACTCACCATAGCACATATCCTCCCCAATGTACATCTCCCAGCCACCCATCCCTCCAACCCCCCTCCCCTCCAACAACCCTCAGTTTGTTTCCTGAGATTGAGTCTTTTATGATTTGTCTCCCTCTCTGGTTTCATCTTGTTTCATTTTCCCTTCCCTTCCCCTATGATCTTCTGTCTTGTTTCTTGAATTCCTTGTATCAATGATATCATATGATAAATGTCTTTCTTTGACTGACTTATTTTGCTTAGCATAATACCTTCTAGTTCCATCCACATCATTGCAAATGGCAAGATTTGGGGGGTTTTGATGGTTGCATAGTATTCCATTGTATATATGTACCACATCTTCTTTATCCATTCATCTGTTGATGGACATCTAGGTTCTTTCCATAGTTTGGCTATTGTAGACATTGCTGCTATAAACATTCAGGTGCACATGCCCCTGGATCACTACATTTTTTTTTTTATTCAAAGATTTTATTTATTTATTTGACAGAGAGAGATCACAAGTAGGCAGAGAGGCCTGCAGAGAAAGAGGGGGAAGCAGGCTCCCCACTGAGAGCAGAGCGCCCAATGCAGGCCTCGATCCCAGGACCCTGAAATCATGACCTGAGCCGAAGGCAGAGGCTTAACCCACGGGGCCACCCAGGTGCCCCTGGATCACTACATTTGCATCTTAGAGTAAATAACCAGTAATGCAATTGCTGGGTCATAGGGTAGCTCTATTTTCAACTTTTTGAGGAACCTCCATGCTGTTTTCCAGAGTGTATGCACCAGTTTGCATCCCCACCAACAATGTAGGAGAGTTACCCTTTCTCCACATCCTCACCAACACCTGTCATTTTCTGACTGGTTAATTTTAGTGTTTTTAAAACTTTGAGTGTGTTGTCAGGCATTCAGTAGCTTGTATTCAATAGACGAATAGTAGCTCTTATTTTTATTATTAATGTAAATAATATATGAAGATATATCACATTTATTCACCATTTAACTTGAGGAAGTTATCTGTTTTATAAAAGGATTTGCCATTTGGTTTCTTAGAATAGCAATGTTGGCCATCCCATTTAAAGTGTGAAGTTATCCACAGCTTTGATAATCGATCTTGTCAGCGCAGTGTTACTCTGTGTGTGTAGAGAAATGGTGAAGCTTTTGACTTTTTGTTGCCCACTGAGAGGTCCCTGATCTATGGTTCCATCTCTGTATTGAATCTCATATTGAAAAGTGGCCTGCCTCTGTTGGTGGGGC